CTTAATTGAATCAATTAATCTTGATTTATGTGAGAATTAAAAGAAACCTAAAACGATCAAAAAAATAATCAGAAAATTGAAGAATAAAAAATTAAAAAACTTTAATATTCTTGCATAAGGTATTTTAAATATTCCAATAGTTATTTTATTTTTTTAATGCTTACAGGAAACGAGTATATTGTATCAGCTACAAACGTTAATCAACATAGGCAGTTATTGAACGGCAAAATAGATCATTTGCTTCAGCAAAAAATGCAGATACCAACATTATAATTTTGACTGTAGTAGCAACGGGAATTCTTACCCCACTGAGACAGTAAAGCTCAAACAAAGATAAAAAAAAAAATAATAATAAAATACTTTTTGCGAGTGCAACATAAAAAAACGAGAAAGCTGCTGCCAATATATTAGCATAAAGCTTTCTCAGAAAATCTTTTTAATAAATCTTTTTTAACAATACAATAATAGTTAATGCACTCAATAAATATTATATGATTATTGAGATCTATTATTGTACTAAATATTATTGTTTGGCCATAAATTAATATATAACTACAATGGAAATGTATGAGGTCACTGAGTGTTATAAAAATTGTTTATTGCTTTAAGACTTTATTGGCTTGATTTAGACAAGATTAAAAATTTGTTAATATCAAATTTCTTACTAACAATCCTTATAGTCTTTCCTATTCTCAGTTGTAACGAGGATTTTTTATGTAATCGTAATGGCTTTTTGAACAAGACTTTATTTCATGAAGTTAACGTTTACAAAGCCAACATTCAGGTACTCTCAAAATATTACAATAGAAGCTAAATAATGCAACTACAAAGATAAGGCTTGGCCCATACCGCCTTCAGGCCTTATCTTTTGTGGCATGGTTTTAGCTTGAAAATAGAGTACCATAAGAATGACAACTAGAATTATCTGTCTGATAAACACATTTACAAAAATAAATGCGAGAAGAATTTGGGATTAATTTTTGTTTTTAAGATCTCAATAGATTAGTGTACTTGCTATGTTCCTTATTTGGTACAGTTGTTATTCATCATTATTTAGCTTATTTCAGGAAAATGCTGCTTATGCGATGATTTACTTCACCTTCATAACGCTTGATATTCCAAAGAATAATAACAGGTGTAAAATCTATTTTTGTACTGTAACAAGAGTGATAAGAAACAAGACAAAGAACATCTATGTAGACACTGTGTCAGTGACTGCTTTCACTAGTGCTTATGGGCGATCTAGTCCACCCTCTCTCCCATTTCTAGTACTTTTCTAAGCTTCTTTCCTTTCCTTGGCGAACGCTCCTGATAACACGGTCTCTCCTTCGATCAATTTGCGCTTTTATACCCCTGGTTGTCATCCCACTTGGGCACGTCTTATGGTGGATTCCCCCGGGACTCTACAGTAGATTTTACTTGATAAAAATTTTTAATGAAAGAATAGAAATGAGCAAATAAACTATTAAAACGTTACTACTGTTTTAGTTCTCTATACTTTCCTCGAAAATACGAACTTGAAAAATAAATACTATTAGGCCTCATAATAACTCGTTGTATTCTTTAAGTAGATTTTATTTCTAACGAAGCGATAGAATGCTAGTTAAAAAAAAAAGAAAATTTTGTTTAATATACGTATTTTATACATAGCATACACATACATACGCATATATATTATCTATTATGTATAATATATGTGTAAATAAAATTTTTTAATTTTACTGACTCCGAGAATCAAACCCACATCTTTTGGATTGGTACCTTACTAATCAGGGACCTTATTGATTGTGCTGCGCAGCACGCCAATCTGATCTCTGTTCTTATAACTTATCGAAACCAACCAACAAACTTCTGAATTAGAAAATTGATTGGTAATTGGGCATTTTTTATATAACATTGTATATAATTTAACCCGCTGATTTTAAAAGAAATAGTTGATTATTTCTGAGTAGTCTAAGGGTCTAATGTTAAAATTGTGTGAAATTGTGTTTTAAAGCTCCTTTTGCTTATATCTTTCAATGGTTTGATATACAGAAAAAATAAAAATACCAGCGTATAGAGAAAAAAACTTTTTATCTATAAACAGTTGTAATTTTGTTTCAACAAGAGCAAAATGTTAAGAAAAAAAATGAAAAAGATATTTTGGCAGTACCTGTAAAAGTAAGTGAGATGGAGAGCTATTGGTCATCTGCTTTCGCACTCACTCATTCTCTCTCTCTCTCTCTCTCTCTCTCTCTCTCTCTCTCTCTCTATTGTACTCATACAGGTAGGCTTTTTTAATTGCTTTGTTCAATATTTTGCGCTTATAGAAAATGGTAAATTAATATTAGAATAAGTATCATTTTTTTATCATCTGAAAAAACATTTCGTTGCGAACACGATTATTTTAAAATATAAATATTTGATCATTATACAAAGTTTTCCCAGGGTCTTCCAATCGTATTCATTCGAACTCCATCTTAACCTGTTTTTTGTAAAGAGGCAACAAAATTCGCACACGTGCGTAACTACGCACAAGTTTCCGAAAAGTGTCAGAGAAAGTAATACACACAAACGTTTGTTAAACTTGTGTATGTACCTATGTGTAGGTAGGTAGTATAGATACTCTTCACCGTGTATTATTGTTTTTTCTCGTTCTCGTTGTTTATATGTTAATGAACAAAAAAAAGTAAATACATAATTTGCTTTTTTTTTATCTATAATATTCAACGATAAAAATATATATTCGTAAATAAACGGTCTTTTAAATATAAAAATATGAAATAAAGATTATTTAGATTCAAAAAAATGAATACTTTCCTACCTCGCGCGTTTTTAAGAGGCTGGTGTGCATTCGGTAGAAAAAATAGGATTCGCCACATAAGAGCCATTGCTCCGTGGCTGCCTTCCGTCTCTTGGGCGCTGTTTCGCAAGTTCCTCGGGCTGCAAAATAGCCCTGGAGAACATGTCTGTCGGGGGTCCTGAGACCCACACCTGGTTTCTAACCAAGCAAACGAAAAAAAGCGAACAAGAAAAAATTAAGTCAACTGTTCTCTGAAATTGATGATGATGTAAGTTGTACAGATAAAGTCCAAATAAAAAAAAACAAATTAACTTAATTGAATCAATTAATCTTGATTTATGTGAGAATTAAAAGAAACCTAAAACGATCAAAAAAATAATCAGAAAATTGAAGAATAAAAAATTAAAAAACTTTAATATTCTTGCATAAGGTATTTTAAATATTCCAATAGTTATTTTATTTTTTTAATGCTTACAGGAAACGAGTATATTGTATCAGCTACAAACGTTAATCAACATAGGCAGTTATTGAACGGCAAAATAGATCATTTGCTTCAGCAAAAAATGCAGATACCAACATTATAATTTTGACTGTAGTAGCAACGGGAATTCTTACCCCACTGAGACAGTAAAGCTCAAACAAAGATAAAAAAAAAAATAATAATAAAATACTTTTTGCGAGTGCAACATAAAAAAACGAGAAAGCTGCTGCCAATATATTAGCATAAAGCTTTCTCAGAAAATCTTTTTAATAAATCTTTTTTAACAATACAATAATAGTTAATGCACTCAATAAATATTATATGATTATTGAGATCTATTATTGTACTAAATATTATTGTTTGGCCATAAATTAATATATAACTACAATGGAAATGTATGAGGTCACTGAGTGTTATAAAAATTGTTTATTGCTTTAAGACTTTATTGGCTTGATTTAGACAAGATTAAAAATTTGTTAATATCAAATTTCTTACTAACAATCCTTATAGTCTTTCCTATTCTCAGTTGTAACGAGGATTTTTTATGTAATCGTAATGGCTTTTTGAACAAGACTTTATTTCATGAAGTTAACGTTTACAAAGCCAACATTCAGGTACTCTCAAAATATTACAATAGAAGCTAAATAATGCAACTACAAAGATAAGGCTTGGCCCATACCGCCTTCAGGCCTTATCTTTTGTGGCATGGTTTTAGCTTGAAAATAGAGTACCATAAGAATGACAACTAGAATTATCTGTCTGATAAACACATTTACAAAAATAAATGCGAGAAGAATTTGGGATTAATTTTTGTTTTTAAGATCTCAATAGATTAGTGTACTTGCTATGTTCCTTATTTGGTACAGTTGTTATTCATCATTATTTAGCTTATTTCAGGAAAATGCTGCTTATGCGATGATTTACTTCACCTTCATAACGCTTGATATTCCAAAGAATAATAACAGGTGTAAAATCTATTTTTGTACTGTAACAAGAGTGATAAGAAACAAGACAAAGAACATCTATGTAGACACTGTGTCAGTGACTGCTTTCACTAGTGCTTATGGGCGATCTAGTCCACCCTCTCTCCCATTTCTAGTACTTTTCTAAGCTTCTTTCCTTTCCTTGGCGAACGCTCCTGATAACACGGTCTCTCCTTCGATCAATTTGCGCTTTTATACCCCTGGTTGTCATCCCACTTGGGCACGTCTTATGGTGGATTCCCCCGGGACTCTACAGTAGATTTTACTTGATAAAAATTTTTAATGAAAGAATAGAAATGAGCAAATAAACTATTAAAACGTTACTACTGTTTTAGTTCTCTATACTTTCCTCGAAAATACGAACTTGAAAAATAAATACTATTAGGCCTCATAATAACTCGTTGTATTCTTTAAGTAGATTTTATTTCTAACGAAGCGATAGAATGCTAGTTAAAAAAAAAAGAAAATTTTGTTTATAGAAGATGTACTGTACTGTGCGCAGCGTAATTGCAACAAGTCATGATATACTGTCTTCAGTACAGTAGCTATAAAAAAATGATGTAACTTGATTAAATGAAGAGTACAGAATGATGTGAAATATTATAAGAAAATTTGATATGTTTAGACTTCTTAATACTTAAAGCTAAGTAAAAAATCATATTATTCATTACGTTTTTTATTTTTTATGATTCTACTTACCAATATTCGATACTGAACCTGAAATTTCAGACAAAGGTTTTGGATGTAAATCTACTAAAGATGCATTAGGATCCGACATTACTTGAAAAACATCTCCAATATCAGTTTGTGGAGTATCAGTACCTTGTATTCCTGCACGTCTTTGTAATTGATGTAATTGTTCCATTTGGAGATGTCGTACTGATCTCACATGCTGCAATAAAGGTAGTCTATTTTTTGAACTAAATCCACAAAGAGCACAAAAATAGAGTTTTGCAATTGATGAAATGTTGTTGCTAGCCTCAAGCAAATGTCGGAGTAAAAGAGCAGCTGCCTCATGTCTAGGGGAAGCTGCATGAAGAGCTAATTTATGGACACTATTTGTATAATAATCACATGCATGACAGCGTATTTGTGCTGTACTAGTTGGTGATGCTAAATATTTTAGTTTCCATTCATTGCGAGTCCCACCTTCTTTAACGTGATTAACGTGTTGCAATCTTTGTAAATGTTTATCTGTTTTACAGTGAAGTTGAAAATTTGCCTTTAAATTTGTTTTGTAGGAACATAGTTTACAAATAAAGTGACCTGCAACATTACTAAGTATCTCCCCTTCTCGAACTTTGGTTCGATCTAAAGCTAAATGAATACCCAATCCTTCTACTGAATTAGTAGAAAAATTATTGCAAACGCAACATTGAAATAAATGACATGGATCAGGATCTGATGGTTCTGGCGGAGGTTCCATACTTTCAGGTGTTAAGCCAATATCTGATCCAATATTGGTTAAAGCATTAATGTTGGCCATTCCACTTATAATTTCAGGAGACAAATGAGCTGGTAGTTGGCCTCCTGTCATCATTTGAATCAGTAAAGCTTGATTATAAGCCATGTCTGCTAAAGCAGCTTCAGCATGTTGGGGTTTTTCCATATTTCCTAATCGGAATAACTGTTCAAATTGTTGAGGATTGACATAATGGTTTTGCTGAACTTGATTTTGCTGAACTTGTTGATGGTGACTCTGAAGTGCTGATATCGTTTGTATATGTTTGATATTTTGCTGTAGTACAAGCATATGGTGAGTGTGTTTTTCACTCGTCATGTGGATTCGTAAGTTTCTTGCAACACTGGTCTCATAATTACAAGCATCGCATCGAAAGGTTGGCTTTGATTTTCCTTGATTGAGAGGTTGATGACTTAATAGTGGGCTTTGATTTTGTTGACGATGTGGACTTCTTGATGGATTTGTAACATCTTGTGAGGAGGAGGGGTTATTAGCGGCAGTGCTGTTGTTTTGTTGTAGTTCTTGCATATTATTAAGATGCTTATCACTTTGCATATGAATGCTTAAATTCCCCTTTGTAGTTGTTGAATAATTGCAAACTTCACATCTGTACGGCTTATAGCCACAAGTGTATGTTTCACCTCTTGCTAATCTCGGATGAGGTTGACCTGCAATGCAGTATATACACGACGTTTCACTTTCTGGGTGCTTTTCTTTCATGTGTATCTCTAAAGTTTCTTGATATTTATAATGCCAATTACATTTAGGACATTTTAAGGTTTTACATGAATTTCTGCTATGGATTCCTGTTAATGTACTACTAGCTGCTGCTGTCAATCTACTATTTGTTAATATTAATTCGCACTTAGAACACTCAACACCACTTGGTCGCCCTTGGATATGTTCTGGGCACACACCAATTGTCGTTCCACTTAAGAAGTTTGGGGGTTGTGATAAGTTGGTAAATGATGTTTGAGACATTTTTAATGGTATTGATGAAGTTGACGAAGCATAACTAAGTGTAGAACTTTCATTTACTTTAGTCCACGAGGAAGAACTCACTTGCGTATTTATCCATTGATTATTGGGTTGATTATACGTAGAACTCATGTTTGTCGATGTTGTAATTACTGAAGTATTATTAATTGGTTTGTGCTGCAAGTTTAAGGAACTACTAACAGAACTAGATGACGTCATATTTGAATTTGTTTTATGAGATATGCCTTGATAAATTACTTCATCTCCGTTACGTGATGGTGATAATGAAATATTTTCTAATGAATCTTGAGAGCAAGTTGAAGATGACACAGGTTCTAAAAAACTGACAATAGGTTGTTTACTTTTGCCTACTGCTTGTATGATGGCAGAAGCAGTTGAATGAGATAATATATGTTTTTCATCATCTAATAATATTAATTGATGCTCTCCATTAGCATGTGCAACAAAACTTTTTGTATAGCCAAAACTAAGTTTGCAAATAAAACACATAAGAATTGGTTTCACGGGCACTGATGCAACTGGTATTGATGATGCCGCCGTAATAGGAGGAGGTTGCGAATTATTTTTAGAACTCCGATAACTTATTACACGATAACTGTGCATAACAGGCAGTTCAGATTTTTGTGGTGTAATTGACGGTTTTCTCTGTTGCTGATGCTGATAGGCTTGATGAGCATAGAGCCTAGATACATAATATGCACTAGCGATTTGTGGGAATACTAAGGAATGAGGAATAGACATTCCTCGACCATCAACAATACACCCATCTGGTAAAGAGTCATCATCACTAAGTTCACTTTCGCCTTCGATTATATATGCTGATCCATCTGGATTATAAACAATTTTGCCATCAAATTTCTCAACATCATCACCAGTAGTAGGGCTAGGGTTTGAACTAATACTTTCTTGCAAGTGTGTTAAAAGGACTGCAGAGTCCGTTAAATTAGTAGTTGTGTCTGCTGCAGAAACAGGTGTAGATATTATATCTCTCACACAAGGTTCTGTTCCAGATGCTGGGCTAGAAGTTAAAGGATATGGAGCTGGATGTATAATGGCTCCAGCAGCCGGTGGAGACCCGCCCCCTCGGCCACCTTCTTCCTCAGGGCTCATCTTTTTTTAACTTGTATTATTGTAGTAGTTTTGGCAATACTTATTAAAACGATGTGTCGTATATATTTTTCAATGATTTCCTGTTACAATGACATGCGTAGTCTAAAATAAATAAATAATAAGTAATTCTGTAAGTCTCATCATGCAATACAACTTACCACATAATAAAAATATCTCACCCCTTGAATATACTAAAAAAATCTAAGCCTAAAATTTCATTCATGGAAGTGCTTTTCTTCTTACTTTTCGTCGCTTAGAATGAATTTGTTTTTTTTGCAGCATGCTTTTATGCAGGCATCTCAAATCTGGAATAATTTTAAATGTACAGTTTTTAGTCAGAGTTGAAAAAAAATATGGTTAGTAAAACTTTTTTAGAATACTAACAGTAAAAATGTTTAACTAAGTAATTTACTACGGAAAAAAATTGAGGTTAAATTTTGATCTCTTATTAGTAACAAGCTAGAACACTCAGTTCAAGCATAAATAAAATTGAATAAATGAGCTGGGATCTTGGCAGTACAGATCTATAGAACTAAAAAAATCGCTGAACTTAATTTCCTACAGTTTGCAAAATGCATTTTCAAGTATCTTTGTAAAAAAACAAACATCCCTATAAAATATCTCTAACTTTAAACAGTCCAAACAAGTCGGAAATTTATTTATCTTTTTATTGAAGCTATAATTATGCTGCAGTTTTCAAACTTAGTGTAAATACGTATCCCCTTGAAAATAGCTTATAACAAAACTGAAATGTAAGGTAAATTTGATGTGTTGAGTTCATACTTTGTAAGGAATTACTAAACCCCTATACATACAGGTGATAAATACTATTTTTCCTGATGAATCTTTAGCCTTAAAAAGTTCTGGTTTCAAAAAAAAAAAACGGTAAATTTTTTTTTTTTGTGCAGCATACATTTTGTACGACATTCATAATATAATACTGTTTAATACTCGCAATTTAACAAAATCAAACAAAGTAATATAGACTTTTGCCCAAACATTTTTATATCCTTTTGACATACAAGGCATGAATGTATTTGGTGTGAAGTTTGCATGATTGTGTTGATGTTGTTAAACTACGAGTATTAAACAGTATTATACTACTGTCACGTACGATATCATAGCTACACGTACGTGCGCCCCCTCTTTTTGGGGCCCACTAGAGATGATTGTAGTGGGAGAGAGCAAAAGGGTTAAGCAGATAGGATGCTGAAGGGAGCTCTCTCTGGCTGGAACCGGCAAGGAAGAAGGTCGTACACACGCGACGCGCTCTTCTCTCGTTTTTGCGTTAATAAAGACGTTGATACTAGTTCCTCGACTATTTACTTCGTGCGCACCCCAAGACCTTAGAATCCTACGCAACACTACGAATGTCATAAAAAATATGTGCTGCAAAAAAAAAACTTTACCATTTTTATTCTTTGATTTCAGAACTTTTTAAGGCAACAAATTCATTAGGAAGAATACTATTCATTGCCAGTTACAAATGTTCAGAAATTCCTTACTAAATATGAACTCAACACCTCAACCTTTTTTAACATTTTAGTTTTATTAAAAGCTATTTTTGAGAGGATATTATAACTTTTCAGAAAAATACCATTTTTAAATGTTTATTTTAAATAACTTAGTAACGTCAAATATCGCTTATATTAGAAAATACTGGATAGAAGCGAAGTTTGTACAACATAGCTACGGTGATTAACAACGGTTCCACTAAATTACTTTTTAAAGTTGCTCATTTGAAGATGTTTTGAATATAGAAATGAGTGCAGAGGTTAATTTTTACAAATAGCTTATGAATTAATCAAATAAAACATATTGTATTAAAAAATGCAATTTCAGGATTTTTATCTAAGATGCTTTTCCTTTTTCTTTCTTTTGTTCATTTACTTAATCATGTAATTCTCAGCAATTTTTCTTTAAGTTTACTACATAAATCTAATTACTCTTTCCAACAAAGTTTTGAGATAAAATATTTAGTATTTATACATATCAAAAATCCTAAATTTGTCATTCATTCAACTAGCTTTTATCATTATGTGTTTTTAATGTGTTGATGAAATTCAAGCATTATTTCCAAATTACAGTTATTTAATACCTAAGGAATTCTCACAATAAAAAATTGTTTATTACAAAAATACATACAAAAATCGTAAAAGTGTTGTATAAGGTACGAAAACAATAGTTTTTATTACATGATTCCTTATTTTACTACTACTTAAAAAATTGATTATTAATGTATAATTATTAAGTATCCAAATCCCTGAGTTAAACGAGATCTAGGTTTACATCTTGTTATTTAGGGAACTACGGAAAATAATTAGAGTTTCCTATATTCTATCAATCAGATTATGTTGGTACTATTACAGCTACCATACACGATTTATTGTAAATAGCTTAAGTACTAAAAAAATAGTACAAATTGTAGCTGGTAAGTAATTTATTAATATTAATCAGAAATCTTAATTAAAATACTGAAATTAAGGTGTTTAAATTTAAGGCACACGAATTTCAGGGTTAGGATAATAGGATATTGAATCATAAATAATTAAACTTTCGTTGATATTCAAAACTTGACGCCGAGTAGGTATCCTACCTTAAAAAGTCTTGTCTGTCGTTGTTGAAATGGCAAGGTACATGTTACATGCTTATAAGAGGTGTTTCACGCGAAACGTCCCAGCGCCGCCGCGCGAGCCCTAAAAGTCACTGTTTTCAGCTCACTTTCTTGGCCTTATTCCTATCCTCAAAAAATGTTGCAAATAGCATTTTCGATGTATTTTTCAGTCAGCTTTCTGATGGTGTGGTTAGTTTTCCGAAAAAATTTCATTTTTACTAAAAAAAAACATAAAATATGCTATATCTCGAAAAAAGCATTTTTAATATTTTTTTTGATAGACTAGATAAAAAGCTGAGATTTTTTTACATTGAAAGCGTCTTTTCGCATAGTGTGCTTTCGCTGAAAAATTCGAGTAAAACAATACCTAAGAGTAGATATTCGGCCGTCTAAACGCCCACCAAAGGCCAGCATTGCGCCTTGCTCCACTTAAGTTTTTTTAACTAATATTATTAGTTTTGTAACATTTAATTATTCATTTAACAATGAAGTATGCTTGTACGTTATTACTCAATGTAGTATTGTATAATTAAAATAGAATCTTTGATTTTTTATATAATTTTCAGGTAAAATTATAAGAACCGCCTGAATATAAAGCGTGTTAGTAGGAAAACGGTGAACGAAAACGTGTTCATAAAAGATTACTGCTTGAAAACACTAACGAAATTTATTGCTTATTTCAAAAAAAGTATGGTGATTTTAAAGTAGGGTTTACTAAATTTTCACGCTTAAGGCCATCACACTGCGTTTTAGCTGGAACTAGCGGTACACATAATGTATGCGTATGTGTACATCATGAAAATTTTAAACTAATTCTTGAAGCTATAGATCTGGAACATTTAACGCAGAATACTGAACTGCCTCTTAAAAACTACCACGACTGTATTAAAGCAGTAGTGTGCAGTAACTCTATTGAAAAATGTTTCTTAGATGCAGAATGTCTAGATTGTCCCAATATGTCAACGTTACGTCCACATCTTCTTGAATGTTTTAAGAAATATAATATTTTTGAAATCAAATATGAATCGTGGTTTCAAACAGACAGATGTATCATTGCTACACAAACTTTGAATTCTCATTATTTAGTTGACTCACTAGGAGAAAAATTATTAAAACTTAAAACTCATGATTACTTTGCGATGAAACAATTATTTTTTGTTACTTAACTGAGAAAAGATCTTAAAAGTGAAGAATTTATTATAACTTGTGATTTTTCGGAAAATAATGCGGTTTTATACAGAATTCAACCCAATCTTTTTATTGGAACAATAACCAAGCTTCCATTTCTACAGTTGTAATTTATTATAAAGAAAAAGGTGAGCTTAAACACATAAGTATTGCTGTTATTTCCGATAACCTAAATCATGATACAATTGCTGTACATAACTATCAAAAAGTTATAATAAATTATTTAAAATCCAAGTTTGTAGTAAAGAAAAATTTTCAAATAACTGATGGGGCCAGTCAGCATTCCAAAAATAAGAGCAATTTTAGCAACATACTTTTCAACAAAAAAAAATTTTAAATTGATTGTGAATGGCATTTTTTTGCTACTGCTCATAGAAAAGGAGCGTGTGACGGTATTGGAGCCAACTTGAAGAGAGGTGCAAGATGTGCAAGTCTTTAAGTTTCCTCTAATAACCGAATGTCAATTGCAGAACACTTGTACGACTGAGCAAAGAATTATTGTAAGGAAACAAAAGTTTTTTATTTGAGTAAAGAGTCGTATGAAGAATCTAAAATTAAACTTCAATCTCGATTTGATGAAGCAAAATCAATACCAGGTACTTTGGAATTCCGTGCTGTCATCCCAATCAATGATAAAACATTAAAATTAAAAAAAAAATCAATGAGCTCTGAGTATCAACTTTTTCCAAAACAAAATAATAAAACCAAAAAGCCTACATGTTGAACTTCATCTAAAACTAAAAAGTAATAGAAAATATTTGTTTAGAAAGTATTTTTAAATTAATAATATTCATGGTTAACTTAAGCGTGGCGCGGCACCGCGCCAAGCCTCGGCGCGCGTTCCGACGGCCGAACATCTATTCTTTGGTTTTATTTTACTCCAATTTTTTAGTGAGAGAACACTGTTAAAAAAGACGTTTATAATGTAAAAAAACCTCAGCTTTCATCTAGCCTATTGAAAAAAATATTAAAAATGTCTTTTTCAAAATATAGCATGTTTTGTAATTTTTTTCAGTGAAAATAAAATTTTTTCGGAAAAGTAACCATTCTATAGGAAAGCCGACTGAAAAATACATCGAAAATGCTATTTGCAACATCTTTTAAGGATAGGAGTAAGGCCGAGAAAATGAGCTGAAAACAGTGACTTTTAGCGCTCGCGTGGCGGGCCTGGGGCGTTTCACGCGAAACGCCCCATAAGTGCA